GTAATCCCAGCACTTTGGGAGGCCTACGTGGGTGGATGACGAGGTAAGGAGTTTAAGACCAGCCTGGCAAATATGGTGAAACCCTGTCTCTAATAAAAAAATATAAAAATTAGCTGGGCATGGTGGTGCGTGCCTGTAGTCCCAGCTATTTGGGAGGCTGAGGCAGGAGAATTGCTGGAACCCAGGAGGCAGAGGTTGCAGTGAGCTGAGATCATACCACTGCACTCTAGCCCGAATGACAGAGCGAGACTCTGTCTCAAAAAAGAAATTTTGTCTTTAAAGGAAATCTGGGTGCTTGAAAAGAAATGATCCAGTAGAGAGAGAGAAAAAGCAAGAGACAGTCTAGGAACTAGGCTGTGTGGGAGATGAGAGGTACAGTTTTGAAGAAACACATTAATGAAACTGATGTTTGTGAGAATGGCTAATCATGAAAGTGTACCCATTTTCTTTCTCTCCCATTTGGCCATATTTTTTTCTTCATAAACTATTTGAAGGGGCTGAGGGTAGGCAGATTAATGGTAGAGAGAAATAAACAGCCCTCACTGCTTGACACAACCATGTTGACATCCCAATCTTTCATAGTTATGCAAATTTCTTTAGTATAACTTTCAGCACAATTTAGTCTTGCTTCTTGTATTGATCCTCTTATATCAATCGGCTCAGCTCTACTGCTGACATAATTCAAGCTTTGTTTCCTTCTGAAGTTCTTCCCTAAAGAACTGAGTTGTAGATTCTAATCTAATCATCTGATTTTCATGTTTAAGTGAAGGCATCTTTCCAAAATTCAAAGCATGATTACAATTGTTTTGAGAATTCAAATTGGATACAAAACAAAAGTAAAATTTTGTAATCAAATATCAGCTCAGAAACTGTACATTCTGAAGGTGTGTGGCAATCAGACTTCAGGAAAACACATCTGTGAACCTAGAGAGAAATTATTTTATGCACAAATCTATAGTGTTTCTTAAAGGTTCTTGAACTTTAACATGAATAAAAATCACTTGGAGAATTTATTAAAACAGATTCCTAGACCTCATCCTGCAAGATTGATTCAGTGGGTCTGCATGGGAGCCATGGATTTCAAACATACTACAGGTGATGCTAAATGTAGCTTGTCTGTGGACTATACTTCTGGGTAGCACGGCCTTGAAATGAACTGCAAGAAATGACATCTTTAGCATTATCTAATACTAGCTAGTTAAAAAATGAATTACTAGGCCCCTTCCTGGAGTGACTGCCTTTTAATCTGTCATTTTCTCACTACTTCCATGATTGCTGGCACATTCATGTCCTACCTATATTATAATTTACTTAGTAGTACTTAAATTGTCTTTTTATTTAAATATTATGAAATAAAACTTTAGTATAAACAGAAAACTAGTACTTGTCCTATGTAGAAGTATAATTTTCAAATAAAGTGTACTTTAAAAAAACAAAATTCTTGCTAAATATTGTTTCTGCAGTTCTGAGTCTAAAGTCTGTTCTCATTTTGTTAACAAGAGGGATAAGAAGATGTTAGCACACAAATTGAGATATTCTCCTTTAATTATAAAACTCAAAAAAGAACTGAGAAGAATGTCCTTTAATATGTGACGCAAATGCCATTTAGTGCTGAGCCTACATATGACCTAAAATAATCCCTCTTACTACAGTACTAGCTGTGCTTGCACTACATTTTGAGAAATGTGATTTAAAGGAAACATCTCCCCTTCTCTATTTTTCATTCCAGTCCACTATTCATTCAAGAGTTATTCAGAAAGTGCCTACTCTATGCCAGACCCTACTGCATACTAACTAGTCATATTCAGCATACTCTGTCTCATCTTCCCCTAAATAGCAGTTACTAAATATGGGTTATAATGAAAACCAACTGCTAAGATTTTAACAATCACATGAAGAGATGATGAGGGCTTATTGCAGATTCATCTTGATCCCTGACAACATCTTCTTATCAATGTCATTATTTATGCAGAAAAAGTTTACAGAGCTGTGGTGATGGATGACTATATGTGTGTCTTCTATACAGTAAATTTTGGGAGAAAGTGGCAGTAAGCACATAGCTGTAAAGCACATAGACTGTGAGTTTTTTTTTTTTTTTTTAAATTATAGTTTAAGTTCCGGGGTACATGTACAGATCTTGCAGAATGTTACATAGGTATACACATGCCATGGTGGTTTGCTGCCTCCATCCCCCTTTCACCTACATTAGGTATTCCTCCTGGTTACCCCTCCCCAACCTCCCCATCCCCCACTATTGCTCCCCTAGCCCCCCACCAACAGACCCCAGTGTGTGATGTTCCCCTCCCTCTGTCCATGTATTGTCATTGTTCAACACCCACTTATGAGTGAGAACATGCAGTGTCTGGTTTTCTGTTCTTGTGTCAGTTTGCTGAGAATGATGGTTTCCAGATTCATCCATGTCCCTACAAAGGACATAAACTCATCCTTTTTTATGGCTGCATAGTATTCCATGGTGTATACTTTATCCAGTCTATCCTTGATGGACATTTGGGTTGGTTCCAAGTCTTTGCTATTATAAACAGTGCTGCAATTAACATACGTGTGCATGTGTCTTGTGTCTTTATGATAGAATGATTTATGATCTTTTGGGTATATACCCAGTAATGGGATTGCTGGGTCAAATGGTATTTCTATTTCTAGATCCTTGAGGAATCACCACACTGTCTTCCACAATGGTTGAACTAATTTACACTCCCATCAACAGTGTAAATAGCATTCCTATTTCTCCACATCCTCTCCAGCATCTGTTGTCTCCAGATTTTTTAATGATCACCATTCTAACTAGTGTGAGGTGGTATCTCAATGTGGTTTGGATTTGCATTTCTCTAATAATCAGTGATGATGAGTATTTTTTCATGTTTCTTGGCCACATAAATGTCTTCTTTTGAAAAGTGCCTGTTCATATCCTTTGCCCACTTCTTGATGGGGTTGTTTATTTCTTGTAAATTTGTTTTACTTCCTTGTAGATTCTGGATATTAGCCCTTTGTCAGATGGGTAGATTGAAAAAATTTTTTCCCATTCTGTTGGTTGCCAGTTCATTCTAATGATAGTTTCTTTTACTGTGCTGTAGCTCTTAAGTTTAATTAGATTCCATTTGTCTATTTTGGCTTTTGTTGGCATTGCTTTTGGTGTTTTAGTCATAAAGTCCTTGCCTATGCCTATGTCCTGAATGGTATTGCCTAGGTTTTCTTCTAGAGTATTTATGGTGTTAGGTTTTATGTTTAAATCTTTAATCTGGAGTTCATTTTTGTGTAAAGTACAAGGAAGGGGTCCAGTTTCAGCTTTCTGCACATGGTTAACCAGTTTTCCCAACATCATGTATTAAACAGGAAATTCTTTCCCCATTGCTTTTGTCAGGTTTGTCAAAGATCAGATGGTTGCAGGTGTAGGGTTACTAGCGAGGCCTCTGTTCTGTTCCATTGGTCTATATCTCTGTTGTGGTACCAGTACCATGCTGTTTTGATTACTGTAGCCTCATAGTATAGTTTGAAGTCAGGTAGCATGATGCTTCCAGCTTTGTTCTTGTTGCTTAGTATTGTCTTGGCTATGTGGGCTCTTTTGTGGTTCCATATGAAGTTTAAGGTGGTTTTTTTTCCTGTTCTGTGATGACAGTCAATGGTAGCTTGATGGAGATAGCATTGAATCTATAAATTACCTTGGACAGTATGGCCATTTTCATGATATTGAGTCTACCTAACCTTGAGCATGGAATGTTTTTCCATCTGTTTTTGTCCTATCATATTTCTTTGAGCAGAGGTTTGTAGGACTGTGAGTTTTTAGTTCTTTCCAGTGAATAAAAAAGTAACAGGGCAAAGTTCATTTTATCAATCCAGATATACCTCATCACATCAATATAAAAGTCAACTTGGGCCATTGATACTCAAAAGAACTTCTTTGTAGACTATGTAGAGAGAAAAGGGAAAGCTTCCAAAAGAATTTTTTTCTATATTTATTATCTCACAAATAAAATTTATCTTAATGTTTTTTAAAATTTAACAGGTAATTCGTGTTGGTTTTCATTTTTCCCTATTAATTTCTGTATTTCTGAAAGGCACAGTAAGAGGTACTGCAGGTTAATGCCAAGCTCTAAAATGGAGATTAAAACACTTATATATTCTATTAAATATTTAACTGCCTCAATGCCACCTAATTTCTTTCATTCAAATTTTTTACAGGTTGTGGGTCTGGTGCTTCCTATTTTCAATGTATCTCACTTTTTGCTGACTTTGCTATGCAATTCCAGAAAAGGGCTATTATTCCTTGTAAGTTCCCATACAGTAGTATAACCTATTAACCAAGGAAGTGTTTACACTGTACTTTTATTGTTTGGGCTAAATTTAATGTGCACAAGTTAAGAAAGAAAAGTGCGGGCATTAGGCAGCAAGTAAAAAGAGTAGGTTAGAGCCGTATCTGATCTGGAAGGCTGTACTATTAAATGCAAAAAGCAGGTTGCAATATGATGCGTTATTCTGATAATATACAGAAAAGACCCTTTCATACTCTAAATATATGCAGGAAGAAAGGAGCAGAATACACATTAGGCTGTTAACTTTAGTTAGCTTGGTTGTTGGTGACAGTAGGAAATGCTGAGGTTAAAAATGGGGACAGACAGCCACTATTAAAATATTTATTTATTTTTATATTGTATTACCTTTGAAATATCTTTATAAAGGGAATTCATAAATAAAACTTTAAAATGTAATCTGAATAATGGAGTTTTAAATTAATAACCCTTTGTAGAGCAATTAAGCCTGGGATTTTAGGGCAGGGATTTTGTACTGTCTCTGGTGGGTAAAGGCTATATACTTCATAAAATCAAATTGCATCTTAGACAAGTAACAAATAATCCACAAAGAACCTGAATGTGAAAATGGCATCCATCAGCAGTACATCATACCTTAAGGCACTGTTATGGACAAGAAGAATTATTACCCTTTAAAAGTAGTTTCTATTAACAAAAGAGACATAAAAATTGAACTATGTAACAAAATTCAAGCTTATTACTTGTATTAATTAAAAAAATACTGCATTGTCATGGAGGGAGACTAATATTTACCTAAAGAAGAATCTTTAATAAAGCTTTAATATTCATGGATTTTACATAAAAAAATTCAAAGCAAGAGATATAAATACCCTTTTATAAAACGACTTTTTTTCTTGAAAAACACTCATTTATATGCTTTTATTTTGAAGTAAATTTAAAGATGGTGGCCTAGAAACCACTAGTATTTCCGGGTAAGGCTGAAGACCCATCTGTTTGTTATCTTTCAACTTTTGTACTATAACTTTGGCAAATTCTTCTCCTTGGATGTCAGTAGTGTCTAGTAATTGTCTGACTTTTGAGGTCCTTGTAGGCTTGGTACTAACAAGTTCATAGTCTTCTTTCATGATCAAGTCCCTGGAAAGAAGGGCATCTAGTGACTGGTTAAGACAGGCTTCTGTCATTTGGTTCACAATGTCTTCCCTTTTGCTCTGGATCCACTGCTGGGCTATACCAGGCTGTAGACGTTCTGAAAAAGAATAAGGAATGAATAATTAAAAAGGTGAGGACTGATGCATAGCAATGAGTAAAATTCCATGAAAAATAAAAGGCATAAAACCTAATTTTCCAATATGGAACACCAGAATTTAGGGGAATGCTGTTATTTTTCAGGAAACTTTAAAAGATTTGGGTTATCTCTCCCTCACTCCCCAGAAAAGGCATTGCCTTTTTATATGGTACAAATCATGGGGCAAAAGCCACTTTATTTTTCAGTTTTTGTTTAAAGTCCATTTTGTTTCAAATATAAAATACCTGAAAATTTGTTAAACAAAAATAACTTTACTGTTAGTAATATGTGAATACCTCCTCTTAGCACTTCCTCCCTATTTAGATGTTCACAGAATACCATTTGGGCTATGTCATCATTCCATCTTCTGTGATTTGTTTTCCTACTTAAGAAGGTATGTATTTATCATATTGAAGAAATAAAGGCAAACCATACTGTATGTAAATAAACTGTACATAGATACGTGAGGTAAATGGCATCACTTACAAGTTGTTTCACAGTAAATATTTACCTGAGTTTCCTCTAGTTGACAGTGGATTTACTATTGCTGAAGAGCATGGAATGGTCTTGTGATCACAGAATGTGGCCCTTTGAGATGCAGAAATGGTACTATCCCAACTGTGATTTACTGAACAGTCATGCAGCCTCATAAAAGAAGAGTCTTCAGTTTTTCCTACAAAACACAACATCTTCAACAGAGGTAGAATACTCTTAGATATTCCTATTGGCTAAAATGTCAACATCTGAGCAGACAGAAGGTAGGCTACCACGACCAGCTAATTTTTGCATTTTTAGTAGAGACGAGATTTCACCATGCTGGCCAGTCTGGTCTCGAATGCCTGATCTGATGTGATCTGCCTGTCTCAGCCTCCCAAAGTTCTGGAATTACAGGCCACCATGCCCAGCCATGAACCTTAGTCTTATATTTTCAAAAGCCCTCTGGACATCACCCCTTTGTGTGCTGCTAGTACCTCAAATTAAAAAAAAAATTAGAAGTGTAATTATTCATCTTAACTCTAAAACTTGTTTTAACCTATTTTAAATTGAGACAGACTGTTGCTCTGTTGCCCAGGCTGGAGTGAAGTAGTGCTATCTCAGCTCACTGCAACCCCTGCCTCCCGGGTTCAAGTGATTCTTGTGTTTCAGCCTCCTGAGGAGATGGAATTACAGGTGCGTGCCATCATGCCTGGCTAATTTTTTTTTGCATTTTTAGTAGAGATGGAGTTTTGCCATGTCAGCCAGGCTGGACTTGAATTCCTGACCTCAAGTGATTTACCCACCTGGGCTTCCCAAAGTGCTGAGATTATGTTAGCCACTGAGTGTAGCCTGTCTTAACTTTTATTTCTTTCAATGGCACCAATGTTCTCCCAGTGCCCTGGCTTAACAATTTATTTGGCTTTACCTCTTTTTTCTCTCTTTGCTCCTCCAAGTGAAAAGTTACAAAGTCATATCATCTAGTTGTCTGTAGCATCTCACATACCACCTCTCCTTTCTTTCACTCTGGATCAGTTCTTATAATCTCTCTCTGGTACTGTAGTAATAGGCTCCTAACTAATCTTCCCATCACAAGTTTCCTTTTCCTTTCAAAATACCCTACATTTTCCAGGCAGAATGAATTTTCCTAAAGTAAAAAGTTTTATGACCCCCTTGCTGAAAAAACTGCAATAGCTGCTTCCTATTCAAATAGAAAAGTCCAAATAGTTTAGCTGAATGTTAGAATTCCTGATGATATGACTCCAACCCACTTAGCTCTTACCTTCTTTCATTCATCCTCTTTACTAGCTAAACCAAATTACTCACTGTTCTCTGTATTTTCTTGCTTTTGTGCCTGTATGCGGTTCTATTTGCCTGGAATGCCTACTCTTTGTAACTACAGATCCAGCCTTCAGCCAGAAATTGTTTCATGATGACAATATGGTATAGTAGAGTGACATAATATTTATCAAAAGTCTTAGATGTGCTAGCTATGAGCTATGTGATCCAGTGTCCTTAATCTGTAAAATGAGGACATTTCTAGGTTGTTGTGAAAGTACTTTGTACAGTGTTCCTCTTCCACTGTACTACCATAGCGCTAGATCCACATCTCTCTTATATCACTTTCTATCTCATATAAGAGTTATTTAGAAACATTTCTCCTCTTTCTTGTAAGAGATTTTTTTTTTTTGCGGGCATTTTCTGGGAGTGTCTAACATAATGCCTTTTAAAATTTATTTTTTGACACGTAGTCTCACTCTGTTGCCCAGGCTGGAGTGCAGTGGTGCGATGTCAACTCACTGCAACCTCCCTCCTGTGTTTCAGCCATCTTCCCACCTCAGCCTCTAAAGTAGTTGGGACTACAGGCACCCACCACCACGCCTGGCTAATTGTCGTATTTTTAGTAGAGATAGGATTTCACCATGTTGGCCAGTCTGGTCTTGAACTCCTGACCTCAGGTGATCCACCCAACCTTGGCCACCCAACATGTTGGGATTATAGGTGTGAGCCACCACACCTGGCCAAATATAATGCCTTAAAACTTAAATGTATTTATTGACTATCGCTCTACTGCTTTCATATCTTTAGACTCTGTCACTTTGAAAAATGAGTTATAAGTGCAAATTAAAGTTCCATAGAAATCATGACTGCTTGCCAAAAATATGATCTTGAAAGAAAATGGAAAATTTGCAAGTTAATAATGATTGGAAAATTTACATACTAGATAAAAAATCATTGTCTTGAGGAGCTGACAGGGACCTTGAAGTTCCAGGGGAACCACTATTTTTATGGGGATGAGAGGATCCACATGATTCCTAAAGGAAATAGAAAATAAAGGGTTTAGGTTAATACAAATTATAGAGCTTTAATTTATAAATAGTTCTTGGTTGTGGCTTATCACAAATGAAGATCAAAACTAATTTTTTTTTTTGAGATAGGGTCTCACTTTGTTGCCCAGTCTGGAGTGCTCACTGCAGCCCTGTCCTCCTGAACTCAGGTGATCCTCCCACCTCAGCCTCCTGAATAGCTGAGATTATAGTTGCATACCACCACACCATGCTATATTTTGTATTTTTTGTAGAAATAGGGTGTTGCTGGTCTTGAACTCCTGTGTTCAAGTGATCCATGTGCCTTGGCCACACAAAGTGCTGGGATTATAGATGTGAGCCACTGTGCCCAGCTTACAAAACTACTAAAAATTAAACTTTACAAAATTCAAGAAATACATACATCTATAAAATAAGCAACAAAGATGAACTTCTTTTCTTCTTTTTTTTTTTTTTTTTGAGACGGAGTTTCGCTCTTGTTACCCAGGCTGGAGTGCAATGGCGCGATCTCGGCTCACTGCAACCTCCGCCTCCTGGGTTCAGGCAATTCTCCTGCCTCAGCCTCCTGAGTAGCTGGGATTACAGGCACGTGCCACCATGCCCAGCTAAATTTTGTATTTTTATTAGAGACGGGGCTTCACCATGTTGACCAGGATGGTCTTGATCTCTTGACCTCGTGATCCACCCGCCTCGACCTCCCAAAGTGCTGGGATTACAGGCGTGAGCCACTGCGCCCAGCCCGAACTTATTTTCTTAATTAACACAAATGGGGGAAACAGGGCAATAATGAAATATATATTTTTTTTTTTTAGTATTTTCTACATGATCTCGAAGGCTCCAGCCAGTAGCTAGAATAGTGAATGAGAAATTTGATATCTGCAAGTCTGGTCTCCTACAGATTTAGAAATGCTTGTTTCTCAGCCCCTCTATATGGAAGCATGGGAGACCATGGAAAAAGTAATGGAGAACTTTACTCCTAACTCTGTCATGGAATTACCAGCTAACTTTCAATAAAACTCTCTGGCTCTCAGGTTTTTGGCTGTATTATCTGCAGTATCTATCAAAAAATATGCACAAATGGGCTCAAGAATCAAACAAAATACCGTATGTCAAGTGATTAAAAAAGCGATATACTAAGGTTCGTTTTAAAGGTATTACAGGTTGAGTATCCCTCATCTGAAATGCTTGGAACCGGATGTGTTTTGAAGTTTGGATTCTTTTCAGATTTGGAATATTTGCATATATATAATGAAGTATCTTGGGGATGGGACCCAAGTCAAAACATAAAATTCATTTATGTTTCATATACACCTTATACACACAGCCTGAAAGTAACTTAATTCAATATTTTAAAATAATTTTGGGCCTGAAACAAAGTTTTTTTTTTTTTTTTGAGATGGAGTCTTACTCTGTCACCAAGGGTGGACTGCAGTGGCGTGATCTTGGCTTGTTCAAGCAATTCTCCTGCCAGCCTCCCAAGGAGCTGGGATCACAGGCATGTGCCACATGCCCAGCTAATTTTTGTATGTTTAGTAGAGATGGGGTTTTGTCATGTTGGCCAGGCTGGTGTTAAACTCCTAACCTCAAGTGATCCACCCACCTTGGCCTCCCAAAGTTTTGGGACTACAGACTTGTGCCACTGCACCCAGCCCTAAAACAGTGTTTTGACTGTGACTCATCATATGAAGTCAGATGTTGCTATGATTTAATATGGTTTGTTTGTCCCTACTAAATCTCATGTTGAAATTTTATTCCCAGTGTGGTGTTGTTGGGAAGTGGGGCTGGGAGGTGTTTGGGTCACGGGGGAAGATCCCTCATGAATGGCTTGGTGCCATTTTAGAAGTGGTGAATGGATTCCTGAGAGAGCAGGCTGTTAAAAACCGACCCTCGTTTTCACTCTTCTGCATCCTGTCTCACCATGTGATTTCTCTGCATAGCTTGCTCCCTTTCTACTTTCCACAATGAGTGCAAGCAGCCTAAGGCCCTCATCAGATGCAGATGCCCAATCCTGGACTCTCTGGCTACCAGAATTATGAGCCAAATAATCCTCTTTTCTTTATAAATTACCTAGTCTCAGATATTCTGTTATAGCAACATTAAACAGACTAACACCAGGGTGGAAATATTCCACTTGTGGCATCACGTTGGTGCTCAGAGTTTTGGATTTTGGATTAGGGATGCTCAATCTATGTTACTTTTCTTATTCTGTAAAATGAAGATACAAATACATTCTTAAAAGAAATTACTAATATGAAATAAGTCTGAATGAATGCTACCTAAGAAATCTTTCTTCTTGGGGAGCAATGTTTTCCGCTCAATAATTATTATAAGAGGTAAGAACAAAGTAGTATAAATACAGTGTTAAAACTGTAATCATGATTTGCCTATATACTGCCCTGGGACATCATTTATTGTACAAAACAATGACAGGGACAGAACTCAGTGCCAAACAAAAAAGCAGTAATTGTGATTAGATGTGATGAATAATGAACTGAGAATCAGCAGAACTGGGTTTCAAGTTGGAGACTGCCATGAGCTACCAAACAAATAAAAGCTTCCTGGGCTTTAGTTTTCCTTCTATAAAAGAGGGCTGAGACCAAATGGTTTTTCATTAGACCAAATGGTTTTTCAAATTCTTCTCACATTTTGAGTTTAATATAAGATTTTTTTTTCTTTACCTCCTGTGGACCATGATTTACAGGTATGTTCAGAGATAATTCCATTTTCTTCTTGTCACACAGGTGAATGGCACTTGAAACACTCTGTAACTGGAATGAATACATAAATATACATATACTTTAATTGGAGATAATTAGGAAATTATAGAAGTAAAATACAATCTATTTAATACATTTTATATGTTTGTGCAAAATACATAGAAAATATAAAGATATGAGAATATAACATGTAGCTGAAAGCAGAGAGTATAACAAGGGAAATAACTTCAGAAACACAGACTTTGAATCCTGCCTCATACTAATTGGTTACGTTTAGCAAATTATTGGTCTCTCAATGTCTTGGGGCTTCATCTTTAAAATCTAATAATACCTACATGCCAGATAGTTCTAGAGACTGAGCTAATAAATATGAAATATCTGGTACAAATTAGGTACTTAATAAATTTTGGGGAGTGTGATTATATGTCTATCTAAAATTATTAAATATTTGCCATATTTTAGGCGCTGGTCTGTAAGTACTATTATTATTTTCATTTTATAGTTAAGAAATTGAGGCTTGGTCTAAGTAAAGGAATGGTGGGGCCATGGAGCCAACAGATTTAGATTCCCACATCTGTTTCATGTGGGACATTAGATTTAATCTCAGTTTACTTATCTGTATACTGGAGATAAAAATGTCTATTTTGAAGGATTACTGTAAGGAAAATGAAAAGTAATGTATGCAAAAATGCCCTAACATTACTTGTAAGCATTCAATAAATGGTAGCTGCTGAGTAGATGATTTCCTTAAATACTATTCTTTTGTACTAAAATTGTTAAGTGATTTATTCCTGTCTAAATAAGCCAGGTTTGGATTAGTTTCCATCACCACTCAGGGATTTAAAAACAAACCTATCAATCATTTTCTTCCCCAGACCATCATAATGCCAACTACTCTTCAGAATTTGGAAACTGGTGAATTCTCATCGAGCCATCCATTATTCACACTTACTACTGCCTGCTCCATTTACATGTCTAAGGAACTTCAGGAGGAAATTACTCCTATTCATCTGTGTATATGATGTTCCTAGCACAGGGCTTTATATACAGCAGTTCAATAAACATATACAAATATATAGTATATGACCCTTTAAAATGAAATTTTAGTTTTTTATGTTATGTAAGGTTTTTCTGTGCTTATAAAATTTTCCAAAGCATTTCTGATAATGCAATATCCATGAATTAGTAACACTGTTTTTCATAACTTATCAGTTATGATAATTCAAATTACTTGTTCTAGTGAATCTGTCCCTAAGAAGAAATGAAAATTTAAAGAAAAACTAATTTTGTTCAGTGTTTATTATTCAAGATATAGAAAATAATTACCTAGGAAAACAAATTATGGGAGCTGATTCCAAGAGTTGGAAAAAATGTAGGAAACACAAAACAAATTTTCCTAGTAATCTTTATTTTCAGATTTTTTTTTTCTTAAGAGACACAGTCTTGCTATGCTGCCCAGGCTGGACTGGAACTCCTGGGTTCAAGCAATCCTCCTGCTTCAGCATTCAGAGTAACTGGGACTATCAGCATACACTATAACACCTAGCTCAGACATTTCTTTATGAAAACTCTTCATTTGTATTCTACTGTTGTCCCTGACATTAGCTTACTGTGTGAGGTGTACATAGTGACTAACTTCCTTATACAGCAGTCCCGCTCTCATCCTGGTTTCACTTTCCACAGTTTCCGTTACCCTTGGTCAACTGTGGTTTGAAAATATTACATGTAAAATTCTAGAAATAAATAATTTCTCAGTTTTAAATCAGATGCAATTCTAAGTGGTGTGATGAAATCTTGCACCCTACACATGTAAAATTCTAGAAATAAACAATTTCTAAGTTTTAAATCAGATGCAATTCTAAGTGGTATGATGAAATCTTGCACCCTACACATGTAAAATTCTAGAAATAAACAATTTCTAAGTTTTAAATCAGATGCAATTCTAAGTGGTATGATGAAATCTTGCACCCTACAGCTCTGTTCCACCCAGGATGTGAATCATCCCTTTGACCAGCATATCCATGCTGTATAAGCTACCACCCTGTTAGTATCAGATCGACTGTCAGGATCACAGTGCTTGTACTCAAGTAACTCTTTTTTTCTGAGACAGGGTCTCACTCTGTCACCCTGGCTAGAGTGCCAGCTCACTGTAGCCGCTACCTCCTGGGCTCAAGTGATCCCCCTATCTTAGTCCTGAGTAACTAGGACTACAGGGACATGCCATCATACCCAGCTACTTTTTTTTTTTTGTATTTTTTATAGAGAAGGGGTTTTGCCACATTGCCTAGGCTGGTCAAGTAACTCTTATTACTATTTAAGTCAACTCTTATTACTAATGGCCCAAAGTGCAAGAATAGTGATGCTAGAACATTGTTAGAACTGTTTTATTATTGCTTATTGTTAATGTATTACTCTATCTTATAAATTAAACCTTATCATAGGTATATGTGTAACAGTGTATATATACATATATGGTTCTGTACTATCTATGGTTTCAGACATTTACTGGCGTCTTGGAATGTGTCTCCCACAGATAAGGAAAGACTATTGTACCTTAGTTATCTCATCTATAAAAATCAGATGGTATTCCTGCCCTATAAGTATCACAGAATTAATACAATTTTTTTTTTTTTTAAAAGAACAACCCTAAGTGGAAAGAATATGGCAACTTAAAAAAAGTAGCTGAGTGTGTTAGTGCATGCCTGTGGTCTCAAGCTATTGGAGACACTGAGGTGGAAAGGACTGCTTGAGCCCAGCACTTCAAGGTTGCAATGAGCTATGATCCTGTCACACTCCAGCCTGGGCAACAGAAGGAGACTCCATCTTTAAAAATAAAAAAAAAAAAGTTTGATTCTATTAAGGAGTAGAGAAATTGGTATACTCTGGAAAATACTACCTACTCAGAAGTGGGGGAGCCAGTGAAAAGTTATTAAAAGAACAAAAACACAGTTCCTCTTTAGTTCCTTCCTTTATGCATTTCCCTTTGAAACCAAGGGTGATGCCACTAGATCCAGCAAGTCACAAGGGGCAAGCAATGTCATTTAGTGATAAAAATGGTAGATTTTGCTTGTTCACACCCCAAGAGTTTGGCTGACTGCTGGTTTTTATATTGTATATTAAGTACAATTTAATGAAACGCACATCCCCTAACAAACCATAGTTTGTTAGGGCAAAGTAAGCATAGTTTAGGACTTGCGCTAATAAACTGTGTGGTTGCTTTTTAAACAATTTTGGATAGTATTAAAACAACAACAACCCCAGAGTAATACGTCCTTCAATTGTTCTGACCCCTAAGAGTCAGACTGAGTAAATAACAACTCTCCTAGGTAATTCATATCAACTGTTACTGCTCCTTGGTCTAAAAAACATGAAGTGTTTGAGAGGAAAAATAAAACAAACAAACAACAAACACACTTTGGTCTCAATTATAATAAAAATCCTACAGCTAAACTTGGCAAGGAATCTCAGAAAAAAAGTACATTACATAAAAAGAGAAGTACGAGAACCCAGACATCTATTATTCTGTAGGCATCACAACTTTTGGAAAATGAACGTACATTAAAAAATAAACAAATGCCTCTAATGACTCAGTGCATTCAATGTACACAACTGGCTTGGATTACACATTTTTAAATTTACATCTGATATATACAGGTTCTGGAAATGTCTTTTAAAAAATATTTTAAATAAAGGTAGGGTCCTGCAATATGGCCCAACTGGTCTCAAACTCCTGTGCTCAAGTGATTTGCCTGCCGTGGCCTTCCAAACTGCGGGGATTTACAGGTGTGAGTCACCACACCTGGTCCTGGAAATGTCTTTAAAATCTGAAGGTGGCCATTTGAATGAAATGGAAAAGCTTTTGGTGACAAAGGAAAAGTAGCATTCACAGTCTCTGGTAAATTTTCTCACTCCAAAACTGTAGCTTACGTCTGTGAAAAGTTTATAATTAAAAACTTCGCTTAACTAAAAATCTCCATGAGTAATATATAGTTGTTTAAATTTCTAATTTCCAGTATTTCATTTGGTAATTTACCTTTGTTTTCTTTAGCTGAATAACAGCTTCAAGAAAAGTTATCTCTTCAAATGTTCTCAAAACTGGTTCAAGTTCTATTAAACATTCTACATAAGAGAAAAAAAATAGTTTGAGTTCAGATTGCTTCTAATTATTAAAGTGAAATCTAAAAAATAATCCCTTATAATTACAGTCACCTGTTTTTCAACAAACGTGCTAAGCCAATTCAATGGGGGAAAGAATACCATAGCCTTTTCAATAAATGATGCTAAAACAGTTGGATATCCACTTGGAAACAGATAAATTTAGATCCATACCTCACACTACACATAACAACTAATTTGAAATAGACCATACACCTAAATATAAACATAGGGAAAAATCTTCATGACCTGGGGTTAGGCAGAGTTCTTAGATATGACATCAAAATGAAACCCATTAAAAAAACTAAAAATTGGACTTAAATTTGAACACTTTTGAGCTTCAAGACAGTATTAAGAAAAAATAAAAAGATAAGCTTTAGACCTGCACAATATATTCCATATCATGTATCTGCTAAAGGGTTTGTATCTACAATATATATAGACTCATGACACTCACTAATAGGAAAATTAGCAAAATTAAAAAATAAGTGAAAGATTTGAATTTCACTAAAGGGGAGACACAAATGGCTTCAAGAATCATGTGAAAAGATGCTTAACAACATAAGAAAATGCACTTTAGGCTGGGCACGGTGGCTCAAGCCTGTAATCCCAGTACTTTGGGAGGCCGAGGCGGGTGGATCACGAGGTCGAGAGATCGAGATCATCCTGGTCAACATGGTGAAACCCTGTCTCTACTAAAAATACAAAAAATTAGCTGGGCATGGTGGCACGTGCCTGTAGTCCCAGCTACTCAGGAGGCTGAGGCAGGAGAACTGCTTGAACCCAGGAGGCGAAGGTTGCGGTGAGCCGAGATCGCGCCATTGCACTCCAGCCTGGGTAACAAGAGCGAAACTCTGTCTCAAAAAAAAAAAAAAAAAAAAAAAGAAAATGCACTTTAAAACTGAATGAGTTTAAAACGCCATACTCACTAAAATATAATTAAAAAGACAAAGTAAGAAGTGTTGGCAGTGATGTGGAGAAAATGAAACCCTCATACATTGCTGGTGGGAATAAAATAATGCAGCTACTTTGGAAAACAGTTTGGCAGTTTCTTAAAAATGAAAGACAAATTTATCATATAACCCAGCAATTCTACTCACAGATAATTAACCAAGATAAATGAAAACATATGTTCACAGACTTGTATGAGAACTGTCATAGCAGCATTATTCATATAGGCAACAAGTAGAAATAATCAAAATTTCATCAACTGGCCAGTGGATCAACAAAATGTGATCCATATGATGAAATATTATTCAACAATAAATTACTGGACTAGGATTCATGCTGAAACCTGGATGAACCAGAAAAACATTTTGCTAAGTGAAAAAAAACCAGATGCAAAAGGACCACACATTATTACCATTCCATTTATCTGAAATATCCAGAAAAGGCAAATCTAGAAAGACAGAGAGTAGATTACTGGTTACCTAGGGTTAGTGGTGAGAACAGGCAGTTACTAAATAGATTTGAGGGATTTTTTTTGTGTGTGTGTGTGTCGGGGGGGGGGGGGGGGGCGGTGAGATGGAAATATTTATGGTAATGGTTGCAAACTATAAAATTATTAATACTAAAAAAGTCAATGAATGTATACTTGGATGAATTTTATGGTAAGTAAATTATACTTTAAGCTTTTGCAAAAAAGAATCTTTATTACATGATTCCTCTCTATTACTGTGTTACTTTGCCACTTAATATGTACATTAGTTGAACAGTTGAAATCCATTTTCAGAATGTATATTCTCTAGTCATTTTTTCAACAAAAGTTTACTGATCTTCCTTTTTTCCTTAATTCAGTTAACCTATATATTTTTTAAAAAACAGGAAAAATATTGCTTGCTTTTAGTTTTTCAAGCTTCTTTTTTTATTACAATTTCTTTTGTTGTGAACTTTTCCTTTTAGTAGATTTATCTAAAAATAGGCATCTTGTGCTTACTCTGATAGCTCGAGTTCCTTTTGTAATTTCATGTTCTTCCATTTGGTCATATTGACAGAATTTATCTCTTGAATACACTTAAGCTTTCTCTATTACTGGTTTTTTTGTTCTTCTTTTCTCTTTCAGGTTTGCAGAACCTGCTTTTCACCATTTCAATACACACTAGAGCCTTAAAATAAAACTGACAGACTGTATAGGCAGTAATGTGTTTATAAATCAATGATGGTACCTTCCCACTGAAACTAGGAAGCAGTCATCCTAGGAAAAAAAAAAGTTATACTTCCATTTAAATACAGAGTCCAAAACGTAACAATAACAACAAAAGAAGTAGTGTCCCAAAGGCTATAAATGAAGAATGTCTAAGGTAGACAACAGTACTTTGTAAGAAATGTGATAAATACACATACACACACACACACACAACTATTAGATACAAAGCTGAATATGTTTATAGGCAATTTCAGTTAAAGAGACAGTTTAAAAATAAATTCTGAGTTCTTATTACTAAAAACGCAATGCAATATATTTTTCATTCAATACTTATATCCATTGTTCATCAGCATTATATTTACAAATCAAAACTTGCTAAGGTAATGGGTTCACATTTTATTTCTTTTTTTCGAGTCACGAGGAAGGGTACGTGTCTCTTTTGTCCTCTTTGCCATTTCCAAATAGTAATTTGTTCTTTCTGTGAAAATTCTAGCTTCTCTAAAGTTCATGCCATTAGGCAATACTTACTTCTCCACAAACTTTTGCTTTTCTCCTATGTTCATTGAAGATTCTGGCTTCTGGCTTACTGATTTCTCCACCCTGCACTGATCAGTACTCCACTGAATACCTGAGAGGAACCATCTGCACATCTCTGGGGTTCCACCTCTGTGTACCTCTTTCTGGTGCAATGTCTGTGAAGTCTATCTGCCTTGGTCTACCCACGCTGTCATCCCTGTCTCCTTAACCGTGAGTGTCCACTGAGCTACATCTCATTTTCTTCTCCCTGTGCTGCATCTAGAAACTGTCAAGGCAGGAAGTTGGGCAATCGGAAGGCTCACTCCATTTGTTTCCCATCCATCAGAGACTGCTGTTGTTTCCGGATATTTAGTGTCTTAAAAACCACTGTTTCACGTATTTTATCTAGGTTTTCCAGTTGTTTCAGGCAGGAGGGTAACTTGGCCCGTTACTCCATCTTGACCAGAAGTGGAGTCACTGGTTTCTCTAAATTAACGGCCCAAACTGGACACTAAATACCACTTTTCAGCAATTCTATTTTGTTTCCCAAATATATCTACCATTCTGTTCTCATAGATAAGTGGTTCTTTTTTTTTTTTTTTTTTTTTTTTAGACGGAGTTTCGCTCTTGTTACCCAGGCTGGAGTGCAATGGCGCGATCTCGGCTCACCGCAACCTCCGCCTCCTGGGTTCAAGCAATTCTCCTGCCTCAGCCTCCTGAGTAGCTGGGATTAAAGGCACGCGCCACCATGCCCAGCTAATTTTTTTGTATTTTTAGTAGAGACGGGGTTTCACCATGTTGACCAGGGTGGTCTCGATCTCTCGACCTCGTGATCCACCCGCCTCGGCCTCCCAAAGTGCTGGGATTACAGGCTCGAGCCACCGCGCCCGGCGATAAGTGGTTCTTAAAGTGTGGTCCAGGGACCCTGGCGGGGGGTGGTTCCTGAGGGTTCACGAAGTCAAAACTATATTCAAAATAACAAATACTAAGACATTATTTTCCCTGTTTACTGTCATCTCCACACAAATATATAGTGGATTTATCTAGAGGCTAAATAAGGTGTGAAAAGATCACTGCTTCAACAGGTAATGGAATGTGTTCTTATATATTCCTACATTTTAAAATCCCTTGGTTTTAATTTCTTGAGATCTAAAAGTTTGAGAACTGCTGTCTTACGTGATCATCTTGTACTGTTAGAGAAGACACTTAAGTCCTTTTCTTCATGTTTCCAAAGGGAAGATGACATTTCCCATTCTGTCCTCAAGAAGTATAGAAAGAATTCTTCCAGCTTTTTTCTGCCCCTCAGCCATTCCTCCTAACACTTACCTCATTAGTTAATCCTGGAGAAAAACTGAGCATGCTTAACTGGTCCCCTTGCAATTCTCTCCTTCTTTTAGAAGTCAGCTTGCCTAAAAAATGCATACATTTTCTGCTCCCCTATGAAGAAGCAGGGTGGGGGGCCTGTGGTGGGCTGGTAAAGCTATCAACTGTAGGAGTAAAATGCTTATACTAATCCCATTTGGCTGCAGATCTAAAGGTACATTCTCCAATTATCTTTATGAGTAATGAAACTGGTATTCTGACCACCATCTATCTTTCTTCCCTGGCTTTTAAAAAATATATTATGAACTTAGGGAAGGCAGGGTTAAGAGGCATTGTACCTTATCTTCCCCTTTTCAACCTCTTACATCCCATCCTCCATCTTTCCTTTGAGCTGATCACCTGCTCTCACACTACACTAAGAAAACACTTATATCCATCTCTCCAACCTCATTTCTCTTACAGTAGAAAAAAGTGTCCATATACTCATCCCTTGCACTCTGAATATCATTTCCTCCACCTCTCCAGCATTCTGCTTTTGATACTCGCTCTCAGCTCTTGCATAATCTGTGACTCTCTACTGGATCATTGACCATCATGCACATAAATTCTAATATTATCTCTTACCTCTAGGAATTTTTTTTTTTTTTTTTAAGAAACAGCATCTTGCTTTGTCACTCAGGCTGGAGTGCAAGTGCAGTGGCACAAGCGTAGCTCACTGCAGCCTCAACCTTTTGGGCTAAAGCAATCCTTCTCCCTCAGCCTCCCAAACAGTTGGGATTATAGGCATTGCACTATGTATGGCTAATATTTTATTTTATTTTTATTTTTTTTTGGTTGAGACAATGTCTTGCTGTGTTGCCTAGGCTGGTCTCAAACACCAGAACTCAAGTAATCCCTCTGCCTTGCTCTCTCAAATTGCTGGGATTATAGGCATGGGCCACTGTGCCTGGCCATAGGAATAAATTTTGACCCCATATTATACTTTAACTATCACCTTATTTTTTTCTGCTTCTATTCAGAGCCAAGCATCTTGCTGAAATTGTCCATACTTGCCTTCACTTCTATCTATTGTTTTAAATGTACATCAGTCTTTTGTTTTCATATCTTTACTAAAACTCCATTTATTTGGGTTACCAGTGATGACAATGTTGGATAATCCTGCTTAACTTATTTGGCCTCCTGGCAGATTAAACATGTCTGACTATTCCTGTCTTGACTTCCAAGATACAAAGACTATACTCTCTACTATCCTTTCTTCCTCAATCTTTTTTTCCTCTTCCTTCTTCTCAATTTCTAAGTGCTAGAATGCCTCCGAGCTCTACTGTGGGTCCTCTCTTTGCTATCTACATTTCCTTCTTAGGTGAGCCAGTCCAGACTATCAATATGTTAGTGATGTTTAATTTTATATTAGGATCCTGGCCTCTTCCTGGAACAACAGATTCATGTATTGTAGTAGCAGCAGCATTTATTCTGACTCTTTCCACTTGCTGGCTATTATAAACAATGCTGCTATCACTAATCACATACAAATGAAAACGTATGTTTTCATTTCTCTTGGGTTACCTGTTAATAGGATTGCTTGGTTGTATGGTAAATTTATCTTTCATTTTTAAGAAACTGCCAAACTGTCTTCCAAAGCGGCAGCATAATTTTATATACCCACCAACAATGTATAAGCATTTTGGTTTTTCTACATCACTGTCAACACTTGTTATTTTCTGTCTATTTATAGCTATTTTTGTGGGTATGAAGTAGTAACTCATTGCAGTTTTAATTTGCATTTCCAAATGACTAATACTATTAAGCATCATTTTATGCACTTTTTAGCTATTCGTATATGTCCCTTGGTGAAATTCAAATCTTTTACTCATTTTAAATTGTGCTTCATGTTCTATTATTGAGTTGTCAGGGTTTTTCATATATTCCAGAATCAAGTCCTTTAGCAGATACATGTTATACAAATATGTTCTCCCAGTCTGTGCTCTGCTTTTCTTATCTTTTTGGAAATAAGGTCTTGCAATGTTGCCCAGGTTGGAGTGCACTAGCTTTTCAAAGGCATGATCACAGCGCACTATTATATATCTTCAAACTTCTGGGCTCAAGTGATCCTCCTGCCTCAGCCTCCTAAGTAACTGGGACTAAAGTTGTGGACACTAAATGCCTCGCTTTCTCTTCTTAATAGTACCTTTTGAAGTGCAAAAGTTTCCAATGTTTTCAAAGTCTAATCATAAATGTTTTAATGAATCCTGTTTGTTGTTGACATCATATTTAAGAATTCTGCCTGATCCTAGGTCATGAAGATTCTATTCTACATTTACATTTGGATGTCTGAACCATTCTACCTCTGAAATATTGTCTTAATTCCGTAACTCTTCTATCCCCAGAATTTCCACCTTAATTAGGAAATTCCTGCTGGGTGCGGTAGCTCACGCCTATAGTCCTAGCACTTTGGGAGGCTGAGGTGGGTGGATCACAAGGTCAGCAGCTTAAGATCAGCCTGACCAAGATGGTCAGGAGTTCAAGACCAAGCCTGATCAAAATGGTGAAAATCTCTACTAAAAATACAAAAATTAGCTGGGGGCGGTGGCAGGCACCTGTAATCCGAGCTACTCGGGAGGCTGAGGCAGGAGAATTGCTTGAACCCAGGAGGCAGAGGTTGCAGTGAGCAAAGATTGTGCCACTGCACTCCAATGTGGTGACAGAGTGAAACTCTGTCTCAAAAAAAAAAAAAAAAAAAAAAAAAAAAAAAAAAAAAAAAATTCCTGAAATTTTCTTTCCTAGCCTTTTTGCTTCCACTTTGGCTTCCCCCAATCAACTTTCCACACAGCAGTAAACATTTCACCTAAACTTTTATCAGATCATGTCACTTCCCTGCAAAACATATGGCTTTCCATTGCACTTGGAATAAAAATCTAACCTTTTTATGATGGCCAACAGCCTCTCTCTTACCTCTCCAATATAATCTAATTCCTTTCCTTGCTCACTATATTCCAGCCACACAGGCCTTCTCACTGTTCCTTGAAAATATAAAACTTTTCCTCTTCTAGGCTCAGAGCCCTCATGCTTGCTCTTTTGTTTTACTGAATACTTTTTCTTCAGCATTTGAATGACTGGCTCTTTTTCAGGCTTCAAATCTCAACATAAATGTTGGCTCCAAAAAAAGGCCTTTCCTTGCCTCCCTAAATTAAGTCTATTACCTAGCTTATTTCCTTTTAAGACTGTCACAATCTGCATCTTGCTTATTTATATGTTTTCACTCTGCCTTCTCTACTAGAATGTGAGCTAGTCGCAGGAAGTTTGTGTTGTTTACCACTCTGTTCCCAGGGCTCACTCCAGTATGTATACAGCATACAGTAGGAGTTCAAGACATATTTGTTAAATATATGAAGTGTTACTCCTATCACATGAGTTCTTTTTGTTAGAAATTCTCAATTCTGCTCTAGAAGGAGTGACTCCAATATAAATACTATGATATAAGAGGGAAAAGAATTTAAACAACTTCTAGCTAGTCATCTAATTTGCACAATTTTTTAAGGAATATTTTATTCACAGTATATTAACTACTTCTGTAATTCAAAGAGTCCAGATTAAAACTATATACTCACTTAAGAAAGATGGTCTTTCATCTGGATTTTGTGCCCATCCACTTTCTATTAAAGAGATCATATGTGCCCGGTGAGGTATATCATATGGGAAACTTTCTTCATTAATAACAGGTCTATGTCCTTGTGACACACTATACATTATCTGCAAAGGATTGGTGACGTCTGTCAAAATAAATGGACTGCATCCGTTAGAAATATATTATGATTCAGCATATTATTTACATTCTGAAACTAACTAAAAGAAAATAAGTGAATATTAAAATTTTAGGAATAATTCATTACCCTCTTTTCTGTAAAAGAAATATATATATCCCAAACCATTGCCAGACTTGTCTGATTCCTATGGGAGGAGTTTATATCCTCACCTCATTAATTCTGGGCTTGGCCATGTGACTGGATTTGCTCAACAGAATATTTGTAAAGCAGAGCTGAGCAAAACCTAGCAGAACTAAGAAGGGCTACAGCAACTAATATTTAATGTGAATGAGAAATAAATGCTTTTTTTCTAAGCTATGGAGATTCTGAGGTTGTTTTTTGTTACACAACAAGCCGACCTATGCAAACCTCAAAATAAAGAAATAAACAATATTTTCAAGGAATAAAAGGACAGATTAGTCTTCAGTGTTTGCTGGTCTTTATAGACAGAGTAGTAATTAAATTATCATATAATTTTGCAGCTAGAATGGAACTTGGAAATAGTAATTTAAAATTCTTATGATGCGGGTGACAAAAATGAGGACTCAAGAGATTGTGTGACTTGATCACAGAGATAATTACTATCAGAATGGGAATTCAAGTCTGGGTTTTTCTATCTTTAATCCATTTTCTAATACAGTAGACTCACAACTGGATTTTTAACCCAGTATGCTTTGTAGTATGTGATGCATTCACAATTGATAAATTATTGTTTTAGTGTGTTTTCCACGAAATGAATAAGCAGATTTAAAAAACATGATTTTTAGATAGTTCTAAGAGTGACCTACTAACATGATGTTATTGAGCATAAAAAAGTCAAAACATACTTACCTTCAAAAGGTTGTTTTCTGGATAACACTTCCCATGTTATAACTGCATAGCTGTTTAACATAAGAACACACATGTTATGCATTTTCAATGACCTCTGCATAATAAACTAAAATAGCACTATTTTTAAAAGCTGACTGTGAAGATACAATTTTTGCAAGTGATAAGGCAGCAAAGAATTAATGTATACAATGAAGATGATGAATGCTCATCTAGTTTTGTTTGGAAAGAAAATCAATTTTAAGTTAAAAAATTAGGAAATTACTGTAGTAAAGCTTAATGTTACATGCAAGATTAACTTTTTGTGGATGATTTAATACTGGGATTAATTTATGAACACCCACAGAAGCTATGCCCTTTAATTAAATGATAGTATTTTTCATACAGAACAAAGAGCAAGAAAAAAATTCTCATGTAGTTTTATTCTACTGACTTTTTTTTGCTCTCAGCACTCTTCTTTGGTAGTGGAAATAATCTACCTACAATTTAACTTCAGTTGTCAACTACAGGGTTAAGCTGCATAGGGTTTATAATTAGAGTAAATGGTTAAATGGGATATAGGAATTTTGTCACACTCCAACATTAACCATGCATTCAAAATGGGCACATGGAATTTATTACTACCAAAACCTTGTGTTACAGGAAGAGTGAGGAGTACAGAGGGAATTCCTACCCAAATAAAAAAATAGTATTTCCGCATTTTTCCCTGAGAGAGTACTGAAATTGTATATAAAGGCAAAATTCACAAAATGAATGACTAACAGATTTAAATTGGCCTATTTTTATAGAATCAAACCAGCTTTCAAGAATTGTTGGGCAGAACATGACTTTTGCCTTAGGAAGATATTAATACATTTTCCCTTCCCTCAGTACATCATTCAAAATGAATTTAAAAAATCAGAAAACAAAATATAAAAGGACAGTTTTTTACATTCATACAATGTGAATGTAAAAGACACTGTATGAATTGTTTTACTGCAGCCACTAAAATGGATTGGCTCATTTTGGATTTAATGAGAAATAACAAAAATTAAAATGCTTTTGAAGGAATATACAATTTAATTAAATTTACAGTTTTCTGGTAGAGATAGAACATTTGTTCCTAAAATGATTCATTTTTAACAGGTTATTTACTAAAGATGTCAAAAAGTCATTTAAAGAACTATAAAATGTGTTAATAGAAAATTTAGAGTCTACTTTGGCATTCATTAGTATATTAAAAGAGATAAGCATAACTTTTAAGTGAGGTGAATGTCCCTATCTCCTAAAACTACGTAAATAATCATCTTCCTTTTTTTCTGGTAAAATAACCAGTGTCAAAAACAATGTGTTATGCTTATTACTGCATTATAAGATTATAAGTAATATGCATCTGAAATATGAAAATATGATCTTCTCAAACCCACCAATTTGTTGAATAAAAAATTCACAAACATACAAATATTAGGGGTTCTTTAAACAGAAACATCCCCAGTATGATTAAGAGTTTGTCTGTTTATCTAAAAAGATGTATAGATATGAAAGGCTAAAAGGCTGAACAGGTTGAGAAACTTAATTCTAAAATGTCAGAAACCACTATTTCCCTCTGCCTTTCCAAGTCATATATGACAAAAATCCTTAACTATATTATAAAGTGATAGGAAGAAGAAGAAATGCTTTAAAATTTCTTAAAGGATGTAAAAATTTCTTAAATCAAGTCATTAAATTTCTTTAATTTGAAAATCATTAATCGCTGTGGCCTCAAGTTTATTTTCACCACAATTATGAGAGAAGAATAAAAATCACAGTTTTAAAATGTAGCTTCAAAATTCTGGTGGACTAATTTTGTGTCTGAGACAAGGTTAACTGAGCAAAAGCAACTTTACCTATATATATCATGCTTGATACTGGCCCTTGATTTTTGCCCAGGTTCATAGTTTTCAGGTGGCATATAGATAATTGTCCCTCCTTCTGGTGCAGATTTGCTACTTCGTGATTGTGAGAGGGACATCATGCGCCATTTTGATAAACCAAAATCTGCAATCTGTAAGGGAAAAGAACAAATAATTGAATTAAAAATGTTTCTCTTTAAAAAGTCCAAAAGTCAACTGTCTTTGTGTATATTCACTGCATTTAGTTATCAATCGAGAGAATGTTATATATTTTAATATTTTATTTCTATGTATTCCACCAGCTTCTTACAAAATTAAATTCCATAGTGCTGAGCCAAATAACTCTAGAAGCAATACATACTGACTTCAAGTTTAATATAACATTACAAATTTCAAAAGAGACTAATTTTTGAAAATTAAAGCGAAGCACTTTTTCTTTTTGGCTGAGCACAGGGGACTTTATTGATGGTACACGACAAGGTGGGGCTCCCTAGGCCCCTCCAAGAGAAGTATTTTTTATGATATTCTCAATGAATGAGTACTTTGCACACCTTACTTTTCATGACATATATGCTTGATACCATGTGCTTTCTACATCTCAAAGAGCTGCTAAGTCTACTCACACCTCATACAATTGTCACTGATCATTTTTTACGATTCTGGTTTATACAGTTGTATTCATAATGCCCTAAAGGTAGCACCCCTCAATTATGAAATAAGCAAAATCTCAATAATATTAAAGATAATTATTATGCAATCTTATGCTAATCACTAAAAGAAGTATTTCGTGGAAACAGTATAATTGCACATAAAGCATATTTATGTCCAATACAATCGTTGTGTAAAGAATTATCAGTGACAATATTCTGTGCCTTTGAAATGTCCTTTATGGTTATATTTCAATTGTAAATCTTGTGCAGATATTATACAGTATCTTATAACTCTAAATATTTAAAAGCTTCCTTATTATTATTTTTTTAAATGTAAGACAAAATATTAAGAACCGAAATAATATTTAATACACAAGGGAGTATGGGAAATCCTTGAAGACATTTAAATTACTTAGAACATTTTACTGTATACTTTCGAATTCAGCAGAGTGAAATGCACTCCATGCAGCACATCGTTTGTTTCCATTGTTTACCACCTACATTTTTTACTGGTTTTAACAATTATAAAATTATGTATAAATACATAATTTTTATTAGCATTTAGATGAATTTGAGATTTAAAAAAATGTGACCTCCACCCCCAAAAAGGAGGGGTAGAATAAATGAATCTTTCATTCATTTGCTATAATAAAAGAGTAAATTTAAGGAAAAAAATAAAAATAAAAAATTTAAAACTGAATTCACAGCAAAGGACCAAGTATATGCTATTGATGCATGAAAAAGAAACTAGAAGTTATTAACTATTACTCTGCTTTTGTTTTCTCTATCAAGAATAGTTTCTGGTCTGAGACAAAGAAAATAAAGTCTAAGGAAGTTGGAAAGTTATGCAAGTATCATATATTTCAAGTTATTGAGATAATTTGCAAATATCTCCTTTGCAAATCAACATTTGCAATCTATAGAAATACATGTAGTATTCTAAAGTACACAACCTAGGAACCTAGCTCTGACATAGTTGAAGGAGCCACCCTTAAACTCTGGTGTTTTAGTCCTCCCACACTGCATGAAGTCTCTCTTTTTAAAGGGCCTTAATTTCATTTATAAAGGAGAAGCCCTCATGGCTTAATCACCTCTTAAAGGTCCCATCTCTCTTAATGGTATAACATTGGCAACACCTGAAGTTTACAGGGGACACATTCAAATCATAGCATTCTGCCTGTGGCTCCCCTAAAATTCACATCCTTCTTATATACAAAATATATTAATTCCTGCCCAATAGCCCCGCAAAGTCTCAACTTGTTCTAGTGTCAACTTTAAAGCCCAAGTCCAAAGTCTCATCTAAACATCATATGGGTGAGACTCAAGGTACAATAATCCTGAGGCAAATTCCTTTCTAGTTGTGAGCCTGTGCAATCAAGTAAGTGCTTACAAAATAACATGGCAAGACAAGCATAGGGTAGGTGTTCCCATTCCAAAAGGAAGAAACAGGAAAGAAAAAAGGAGTAACAGGTCCTAAGTCAGTCTAAAACCGAATAGAGTAAACAACATTAAGTCTTAAGGCTTGAGGATAATCTTTGACTCCAGGTACTACCGTATGGACACACTGGGGTGGGGTTGAACGCCAAGGTCTTGGGCAGCCCTGCCCCTATGGCTTTGCTGGATGTAGCCCACACTTCATTTCTTATGGATTGAAGTTACATGCTTTGGTTTTCCCAGGCTGGTGCTGCATGCTGGTGGCTCTACAGGTCTGAGGTTCTAGGGACAGCCCTGTGCCCACAGCTTCACTAACCATTGCCTTAGTGGGGTCTCCGTAAAGGATCTACCCTGAAGCAGATCTCTGCCTGGGCCCTGAGTTTTTCCAAGGCACTTTTTAAAATCTAGGTGGAAAAAACCATGCCTCCACATCTTTTGCTCTTTGCATGCCTGCATAATTAGCACCACATGGTTGCCATCCAAAGCTTACTGCTCTCTGGAGCAGTGGCATAAGCCACATCTGGGCCCATTTGAATCATAATTGGAATTGCCAAGCCACACACACTCTGGGCTTGTGATAATAAGCATGGCAGCCTTGAATATTTTTGAAATGCCTTTGGGGGTCATTCTCCCACTGTCTTGATGAGTAGCACCTATCTTCCTTCTATCCATGCTAATTTCTTCATCAAACAGTTCTTTGCCGTGTTCTTGTTTTCTCTCCTAAAAATGATTTTTTATTCTTTACATGGTCAGACTGAGAAATTTCCAAATCTTTACATTCTAATTCCCATGTTCTTCCTTTCCATCTGACACTTTTCGTCAGAATAGTCTTTATCATCCATATGTCCAGGAAGATTCTCTTCATAACCACTCAAGTAATCTCTAAAAGAACAAAGGTTTCTCTACAGACCCTCTCTTCACTTCTGAGCCCTCACAGAATTGCCCTTAATGCTCTCTTCATGGCAGTCTAGGCTCTCTGGCATTCACTTCAAAAACTATTTCAGCCTATATGTCATTATGCAGTTCTAAAGCTACTTCTACATTTTTAGATGGTTGTTATAGAAACTCCTTACTTTTCTGGTACCAATTTCTGTCTTAGTCCATTTGTGCTGCTGTAAAAGAATACTGCAGACTGCGTAATTTTCAAAGAAGAGAAATCTGTTTCTCACAGCTCTGGAGGCTGAGAGATTCAAGGTCAAGCCACTGACATTTGGTCTGGTAAGCGCCTGCTTGTGGCCTCCTCATGCAGTAGAAGGCAGAAGGGCAAGCTACCTGAAAACTGGATGAAACTTTTTTTTTAAGGGTCTTAATCTCATTCAGGAGGAAGGGAAAAGCCCTTGTGGCCTAATTACCCCTTAAAGGCCCCCCACCTCTTGCACTATCACATTGACAACACCTGAATTTTGGAGTGGGCATGTTCAAACCATAGCAGCTGGCTTAAAAAATTTAAAAACGTTTACTAAAAGGGGTATTTTATAAGTATGTAGAAAACGAAAAAGCTGGCAAAAATTCTTAAAAAAGAAATTATCAGAACAATGGTCAATTTCTGACCTTCTGTAATATATCCCAAGTGCCTGGCACAATGCCTAGCACACAGTAGTTGCTTCATAAACATTTATTAAGAAAAGGAATGACCAGTTTCATTTCCTTTTTTGACACTAGTAATACTGTCAAAGAGTAAATGTATAAATGGTTTGCAAATTATAAAATATTTTAATGTACTTTAATAAAAACATATTAGATTTCTGAGTTAGTAGGCCTATCTGGTGTATACAGAAGAGCAGGAATTCACACATTTGTTCATTCAGCAAATAATTACTGAATATTTCTATATGGCATGTGCTGGCTATGTGTCAGGTAATGAAGTAGACTAAATTTCTGTCTTCATGGAGCATACGTTCTAATTATGGAAGATAGTCAATAAATATATTAATAAAATATACTATGTCAGATGGTGAAAAATATGACAGGGAAAGCATAAATCAAGGTAAAAAGAATAGAGAGGAACTAGGTGGGTAGTAAGAGAAAGCCACTCTGAAAATGAGGATGAAGAAGATGACTGAGTAAGTCATAAGAATAGATAAGAGCAGCAAGGACTTTCATAAAATTTTTAAGAACAGAACAAAGAAATATGGGCTGTATAATAGCACTTTTAGGAGTATTCCAAACAAACTGAGTAAGTATTCTCCAAAAGCCTGGATTAACAAAAGAACTGATATTGACCCAGAGGAAGGTTCTTAGGGCCATGTGATACAACTCTGATTCGAGCTCTGTACTGGCTCATATTTAATCATCACTTAAAGATACAAAAAACTAGCTAATTAAATTTGAGGATCACACAAAACTTGAAGAGAAACTTAAAACCTCTGGATTACAGAAATAACATTCAAACGGTCTTAAGAGACTGAAGAAATTGCTCCAATCTAAGAAGGTAAAATTTGATCATATCTAGAAAATATTCTATAAAGTACATGATAAGGAGAGGTGGCTTAAGCAATAATAAGTGGAAAAAAGAACCTCTGAGGGTTTTTTGTTGACACTAAGCCCAATTTGAACCATGTGATATAACTACCCCTGGAAAGCAGATGAATTATTAAGGAACTATTAAGTATTTAGGGCCAAGGAAGTGACACTTTCACTAAATTCTGCATTCATCAGAACACACCAAAAATAGTACTGTGTTCCATTCTGAGGATCAAAATTTAAGAGAGATTTAAACAAATAGATCCATCTATATAGCACCAAGGATTACAATCCATGTAATAAGAAACGGCCTGAAGGAACTGAGGGTATTTATCAGAGAAATGGACAAAATGCACTTGTATGTGAGGGGTTGGGAGACAGCTCATTGCAATATTCAAGTATTGAAAGGGCTGTCCTGTGGAAGTAACTGAATTGAATTTATTCTATTTATCACAAAAAGTTGAAGTAGGATCAATGGATGGAAGCAACCAGGAAGAAGTTTTGGTTGATCATTTAAGAAAATGTCACAATTATTCAATTAAGGATGTTAAGACTCCCTGTTACAGGATAACTACTTTGGGAGACGGATTGTTGTAGTGAGGGCTCAGAGTACTAGGTGACCAAGAAGGTACTTCTACTTGATGCATTAGATTAGTTTATAATTGATGCATTAGATTATATTGATTGATTAGATTATATATTATTATACTGATCATATTGATTGATTAGATTAGTTTATAATTGATGCATTAGATTAGTTTCATTTTTTTCTTAGCAATACTGAGATAGCAGCTTGCTTCTCTCTCCCTTCCCCTACCATTTTATTGAAGAGAGAGGAGTGTCTTCAATAAAAATTTTTTTCCTACTTACTTTTTTCTCACATTTTTTGGTTTTAAATTTTCCTGTTGTTTCAACTTCTCTATTACTAATTTCTTGGAAAATTGTTTATATTTACCATAATTTTCTGATTATGTTATAAGAAGTTTACCAAAATGATATATAAAAATATGGTGTTACATTAAGTATTAATTACTCAAAAACTTTTAATTTACTTTCAGTTAGATGTAGAATAGCTGTGAAATCACAATAGCCAGTGTCTTCAACACTTAAGTCTTGCATCTTAAAACAAAAATGAATTGAAGATGGATCACAGATTACATGTATAACATAAAACTATAAAACTTTTAGAAGATAACAAAAAATATCTTCAGTAAGTAGAACTTGGTGAAAAGTTCTTAGAAATGACAGCAAAAGCATGATCCTTAAAATAAAAAAAATCGACTTCATTATAACTAAAATTTTTGCTCTTTGAAAGTCCTTGTTAAATGGATGAAAAGATAAACTGTAACGGGGAAGGAATATTTGCAAACTACATATCTAATGAAGAAGTACTATAACAAATACAGAACTCTCAAAACTCAACAGTGAGAAAACCAAAGAATCCCTTTAGAAAATGGGCTTAAGACAGGAAGAGACATTTCACTGAAAACCATATATGGGTGGCAAATTAGCATATAAAAACGTGTTCAATATCATCAGCAGTTAGGAAAATGCAAATTAATACCAAGATGAAATATCACTATGCATCTCTTAGAACAGCTAAACAGAAAACAGTGACAATACCAAATACTGGTGAGGATGTGGAATAGCTGGATCTCTCACAGATTGCTGGTGGAATGTAAAATGGTACAGCCACTCTGGAAAATAGTTGGATACTTTCTTTAAAAACTAAACACACTCTTACCATATGACCCAGCATTTGCATTCTTGGGCATTTATCAGAGTAATGAAGACTTATGTTCAGTCATAAACCTGTACATCTTTATTAAAAGCAGCTTTATAATAATTAGTCCAAACTGGAAAGAACCAAAATGTTCCTCAAATGGTTAACTGTGATACTTTTATATTGTGGAATACTATTTATCAATAAAAAACAACTATGATACAAGAACAACTTAGATGGATCTCAAGGGCATTATGTGAAGTGAACAAAGCTAATCTCAAAATATCACATACTATGATTCCACTTATATAGCATTTTCAAAATGACAAAATGAAAGAGATGGAAAGCACATTAGTGGCTGTTAGGGGTATAGATTGTGGTAGGGAGGAAGTGGGTGAGGTAGCATGAGTGGTATCTTCGTGGTGATGTTATGAGTAGTGCTGTACCTTGATTGTTGTGGTTACACAAATCTATACATGTGATAAAGTAATAGTACTATGTACACACATTGTACTAATGTCAAATTCCCGGTCTTGAAATTATACTATTATTATGTGTAACATAACAATGTGGGAAACTAGGTGAAGGAGACATAAAACCTCTTTATTACCTTTGCAACTTCCTATAAATATATAATAATTTTAAAATAAAAAGTAAAAAAAGGTAATCTTGACAATTCAGTTAAGAAACATAACAGCTTTGTAGTTCATATCATAATTCTATCTCTGTCTAGGAATAACTTCCGAATTGCAGTAGGAAGAAGAATAGAAGATAGAAATTAGGGGCTATGGAAATTATTATTCATCAGTCCCTATCCTTAAGGAGAGATATGAAATTGGCTAGGCCGAAGAAATAACTAAAAAGTATTTTTAAAACTACGAAGGACAAGGAAACAGATAAACTTTTAAAAAAGTAATTACCTTAACATGAAATTCACTGTCCAATAAGATATTCTGAGTTTTCAAGTCATGATGAAGTAAAGGAGGAGTCATATTGTGCAGGTAATTTACACCAAGTGCAATTTCATGCAGGATGCGAAATCTCAGTGGCCAAGCAACATCAGGATATTCAATTTTCTTCATATATATGTGAAAAGAAACAAAATGAAATTAGTCCAAATTTCACTAGGTTTCACACTTAGAAAGTTAAATATTCCATGAGGAAATACAGTATAAACTAAGGTAAAAACATACGCTTATTTTTATAAAAGAGCATCAATTTGATAGGGTTTAACATTTTCATGTCTTACTTTCCTAACTTTATAGAGAAAATCATGATACCTTTATAAGCACCAATACTTGCTTTTAGTTTATATTGGTCATGCAACTACATGGTTTTGGGTCTTCTTTCTTCAACTAACACAGATCTCAATTATTTTGTGTCTGTACACAGCCAGAGTCATATACATATACCCACATTCACCACCCCATTCTATGTCTTAATCAGGTAATTTGAGTGCACACAAATACATACAAAATTACACACAATTTGTTTTTAGGAAATACCAAGCCATTCATTAAAAATTTATATTTTAATTTTTCTATTAATATAAAACACATTATAATAATCACTGCATAAGTAAAAAATTATGACAATATTGACTAAGCATTAATTTATCATACATTTAATCATATAATTAATATATCTGCATTCCAGCTTATAAATAAGCCTTTGTTTTGTTTTTGTGGAAAGGACAGTCATTTTTGTTTCTAAACCTATACAGTACAGAAACACTTAAAATGTAATGTTTTGTTTTTCATGGTACTCAAATAATATCCATCTGAGCTTTCTTAAAATAAATGTTTTCTGAAGATAAAAGTTAATGTAGCTTCCCAGGAGAATGAACATACTCCAGAAGATCGGGCAATTTGGGAAGACTGACAGTGAATCACCAGGCACCGTGCCACATTTTTCTAAATGCTGTGAAAAAGACTGTTTCTACTGAAAGTACAAAACTATTCTTGACAAGCTTTTCTGCAAATGCATCAGCTTATAGTTCAGTGATCAATCTGGCAGGGTGGGGAGTAGCTCGAAATATTTTAGATAGTTTAAGATTCATTTTGAGTTTTTTCAATGAATTTTGTGACGTTGGGGAGGGTTCTTCAAGATAAATTCCACCCTAAATAATGCAATATAGAAAACCAAAGAAACACAAAAGACTAATGCAGAATATTACTTTCTCTGGTATACACAGAGACCGGTCCCTTGGAGAAACTGAATCTTTTAATCTGTAAAAAAGGTAACTTTTTCTGAAAATTATGTATTAAACATTAACCAGGCCTCTCTGCAGCACAGTGTAATATGGAGGCTTGTGATCATGGAGACAAGGGAGAAAAGTGCTCACCCTTTATAATTTTTTTCCAGGAGTTAACAATCCCCCTAGAGGAGGCTGTAGAATTTTCAATGAGCTGCAAATTTGGGAGCCAGAGTATCTACTGGAGTGTGGGAAGAAAATATTAGATTTCTACTTATACTCATTTCTCAACAAAAATAAAAGAGAAATTGTGATATATTAATATTTGTATATTGGTTGCTGTGGCAGTTACACAAATCTTATGGACTGACACCAGTTACTTATTCCATCCTTGTTTCAAATGGTCACAAGTCATGAGTAGAATGTGATGTATTCTGAAACAAAGGGAAGGTACCCTATGATTGACTGACAATGGCACCACTTTTCCTTGGTCACTTACAGCACACTGTGTTACACTATAATTTAGGAGTATCCACTGATTGAATTTTTTAGATTATTACAATTTTGATTAAGCCAACCCTCACAAAATGGACCAAGTGGTTTAAAAAGATTTATTGAAACTACAGACTCATAATATTAATAATGTAAGCTCAAGCAAACACCCTTAACTGAATACATGTATTTTGAGAATGATGATTCTTGGATCTGTTTACTCATGAAATTCACAGTCAAAGAAAGAGTGAATGGTACCTTGGGAAAAAAGGTAAATGGCTCATACCACTATCTATTATTAGAAAAGCTAATGTATCTGGCATTCAGAGATAATTTATTAATATTTGGCCCGCTAATTCAGAACTTTATGAGCTGGCATTAGTAACATTAAATCTGAATTTGAAATTGCTATTAACATAAAATAAAATATCACTTAACAGTGGATTTTACACTGTACAAAGTTTATCTTTTCCATTTCTATCCATGTAATGTGCATATAAATACTAGAATTTGTTATAAATGTCAGGATCTATAGTACAGGGCCTGAATCCACCAGTGTTTTAATCAACACAAAAATGTCACAAAAGGTAAACTTTTATCCCTGTAATAGTTTTTCATTTTTTTTGATCCATCTATATATTCCTAAATAATCTAATCAAATATAAAATCAAAGTAAAATATAGTTTGAATAATAGAAATGGCAATTATGGACACTGAAAATGTGTAATACTTACCCTATGTAGGAGTTCATTTAATGATCCATTTGGCATGTATTCAGTAACTATTCCCAAAAATTCAGGCTCATTGCAAATTCCCAAAATTGGAAGAATGTAACTAAATCTAGCTTTGTGTAAAATTTCGGCTTCTCTTAAGACATCCTTTCTTTCACTAAGAAAAGAAAATGCATAATTACTTCAAGTAATACAAAATATACAGTTATCATGCCTGTAAGATTAAGCCTGGATTTTTTCATTAATTAGCTATGTAACCTCATGTAAATTATGCAACTTCTCTGCACCTTAGTTTCATCATATTTAAAACAGCAATAATACCTACTCTATATATTCCACAGGTCTGTTTAGAGACCAAAATAACTTCTACAAGCCACTGATAGGTAAAGTGCTATACACAGGTTAGCACTTTTACCTAAGAAAGGCAAGGAACACAGTATTAACTTTATAAAGTCTATGTTAGAATAATTGGTGCTTGAACAAATTACAGGATTATGTTGTATTCGAATGAACATATTTTATTAGAATATTAAATTTTATGGTTGTATACCATGTAAACATCTTCCAAATATCCTGAATATTAAAATATTTAAATGTTATAGATTTAATAGCTGCATAAAAGTCAATAATATTTATAAATTATATGCCAGAACTCAGGAAGAGAACACTGAGAACAGGTAAATGCTTAATAATATTAATAAATTGCTGGGGTAACTCTGGTTCTCAGGTTCATTTGCTTATTCGTATGTAAAACAAATATATATTTAACTTTTTTTCCCCTATTTTTCTTTGCCACTTAGACTAGAGTCCAGTGGTGTGATCACTGCTTATTATAGCCTGGAACTCCTGGGTTCAATCCTCCCACCTCCCACCTTAGAGTTCCCAGTAGCTAGCCCTACAGGCATGCTACCGTGTCTAGTTTTTTTTTTTTTTTTTTTGTAGAGACAAGTTCTTAGTAGAGACAAGTTCTTAGTATGATGTTGCTCAGGCTGGTCTCAAACTCCTGGGCTCAAGTGATTCTCTAGTTTCAGCCTCCCCAAGTGCTGGGATTACAAGTGTGAGTCACCTTGCCTGGCCACATGTAACTTTTATTATGAATAAAGAACTATGGTCAGCATTATGGAGACTATATAGATTAAAAAGATATACTCTTTGCCTTCAAGTTGCTCAGAAATCTTTTCATTAAATAAAAATATAAGTCAGAATGTAAAATGTGCCACTAAAAGAGAAAAGGAAACTGAGGAGTTCAGAAAAAAGAGAGTACATTTGAGGTTAGGGGAGTCATTTACAGAAAAGTAGGATTTTGATGCCAGCTATACCTTAAGAATGCTGTACCTTAAGAATGGACAGAATTTAAACATTGGAGAGAAGGTATCTAAGACAAATAAGGCCTCCCTTGAGGAGGGGATGTGCCTTTCTTTTTAACCTATGTATGCCTACCACTTGGAGCAGTGTCCTGGACATAGTAATATAAGAGATGTCCAATAGGTAGGTATCAAATGAATTCAAGGATGTTAAAGGGAGGGCTATGTTTGGGAAATTCTGAATTGTTTAATGCAGATCAGGATAATGTAATATGAAAGGTGGGAAGGTGAATAAGACAGGTTAGGGCCATATCTTAGTCTTAAAGCCAGGTTATGGGGGTAAAACTTAATTTAGCAGTCATTAAATTGTGACTAATGGTGTTTTTTGTTTTTGTTTTTAACATACAAAACACACACTGGAAACTTATTTATTTTTGTGACACACCAGATTTTGCTATGTTGCCCAGACTGGCCCTCCCTACTTTGCCTCCTGAGTAGCTGGGACTACAGGGGTGTGCCAATGTGCCTGGTATGACTGAAAGCTTTTGAGTCGGGGAACAACAGTAGAATAAAATTTTAAGATGATTAACTTGGCAACAAGATGTAGGATCAGAAGAAAGTGGGAGAGTTTGAAATTCAGGTGTTAGGAGATTTTAATACCAGTTAAGATGTAAACCTAAAACCTAAACATAAAACTACAAAGGTAGCAGTGAAAATGGAAAGACAAACACTAGGTGAATAGAATGCCTGTGTTGTGGTGACTGACTATAGGGGATTAAAAAAAAAAATGAAAGGGAATTAGAGATGTCATTATTTTTTTACCCTGGATGACTGGGTGTGGGTTGCAGCAATGACAGAAATAGACATGCTTCCAGGAGACGCCTATTAGGTAAGTAATGATGATAAGTTAATTCTTACACCTCCCAAGCTCTGAACGAATGGTTGTTGAAATATGAACAGCAATAAACATTCAGGACTAGACTAAGAGGACTACTTTAAAAACAAAAAAAAAAAAGCAAAAAGAAATCGTAGTTGTTTATTTTTTGAATAGGTCATATATTTATATTTCTTAAAATTCAAGAGTTAACAAGAAGGCGTAAAGTGAAACCTTCTCTCATTCTCTCTGTCCTTCAATCACTTAATACTCCAACTGCAAGAAAACCAATTATATCAGTTTGTGAGGCCCATTTTAATTAAATGTCTATTCCCTAAACGGAAATAGGTCTCTATTTGCCCCAAGAGATTTGGGCCAACAAGACACAGAAGATGACCCTGAAGATTCCTGGATACTAAGAACAAGGGTGACTGGATACTGCAGAAGTCTCAGTGATACTTTACACACTCTTTCCTTCTCCCATTAAGAGTATGAGGCATTCTTTCCCCTGTGATCCTTTTACATGTCAGTCACTTTATATGCACTAGAATTCTACAATCAACCTCTAAACAGTTTCATTATCTCCACTTTATAAATGAGGGCACTGAGGTTCAGAAAAATTAATACTTTTCTGATGGTCACACTAATAAATGGCAGAGTTGGCATCAGATTTGAATTACAATCATGGGACCTTAAAGCCTGCATTATTTTAACCCTGTTGCTTGATCAAAGAACATCATAGTATGAAAGTTCTTGAAGACAGGTTTTTGGCAAGATTGAGTTAGTGGGAAATTTTTTTAAAAGCCAAAATATTTTAAAAATTGATTTTTACATTTTGAAAACAAAGGTGTAAAGTACAGCTTGTATAGTCACATCACCAAAATTAACTCAAAAATTCAATAAAAAAGTTATGTCATGTACAGGGTATTTGAACAACCAGTTGGACTCATTACTCATAAGGTATGGGAAGATTGTTAGGGAAGGTCAACTCTTCGGATAGAAGTCAGGTTATAGAGACTGATTCACCAAACATTAAAATAAGAACATGTAACACTGCATAAACTTATTTTTCTTTCAGGTCATCAAAAAAAACAATGCAAACATTGTTCTCCATAGCCTGAGAAACACATGCATTTATTATTCCTATTGTATAAGTGAGGAAAGAGACACCAGTGAGTCAACTGCATAGTATCATGTAACACTCATTCGACTACATAAATACTTCAATGATAAGATCTGAGGTAACAAATTGGAGAAAAGAATGTGATACAGTAATGCCAGAGTGTTTCACTGGTCTTACGGCTTCCTCGAAGACAGAATTAATTTCCTACCCAATTCAGTGAAGAATTTTAGACTATGAAAATTGTTCATGAGTATGGAAAGGAAACTCTCTCTTCACTTCTTGGTCCCCAAACCACACAAAGTTGAGATAAATTAAATCTTGAGAAGCAGCATCCAAATTGGGAGGATCAATTGGCTTTTCAATACCTAATGGGTTCATCAGTGCTACCTTTCCATATAGTATTTGCATAACTGGTTCTAACAATGTATATGTCCTCTCTAACCACCACCTTTAAAAGTTGACTACAGACACACGTACACACTTGCCCAGCACTTGCTCCACAGAACATAAAGCCCAGAGTAAACAGACACCACACCTTTTATATCACTTAATCTGGATTATGACAGACAAGAAGTGGAAACAAGCTCTAGAGGTGTCCCAAATCTGTGCCATTTAGGCCATCCAAGCCTGACAGTGAGAGATAATGAAGAAAAGCCACAGGTAGGTGAAAATCCAGTAACTGGCAAGGCAGAAGCTGAGGAATTTATCTGATATTGCATACTCACAGCTTCTGGCCCATCAGGCATCTGTGATGATGTATTTTCACATTAGATATAGGAGGAGAAGAGAATGTTGCAATCATGGATGTTAACTCCCTAAGAGCTGAATGCTGGGCCTAGTAAAATCCCTGTAGGAAGTAAAATACACAAGACTAGTGACCAGACCATTGATTAATACACAGTCACAGGTCTATGGCATGCGGTTGTAATGTTTCTCTGAAAACAGAAACTAATGTTAACTGTCCCTTAAAACCCGGACAAACTAATAAGTGAAAGCCATCTACAATTTTTGGCCACTTTACAGTATTTTGGTTCAATTTTTTGTGGCAAAAATAGCACGCATTTCCTCTATTACAATCTTCCCTGTTAGAGACACGGAGAGTAGGAGAAACTGAACTGCTAGTATTGAGTCTGACATAAAACGCTCCTGACTACACGTTCCTGAATACACGTAATACATCACAAACAAAACAAAAACAATAAAAAGCAAAACATCCCCGATTCTAAAGCAGCGCTGTTCAATAAACATATAATGTGAACACCACATACAATTTAAAATTTTCTCATGGCCACATAAAGTAAGAAGAAACACATGAAATAGATTTCAACATATTTAACCGAAGATACCAAAAATATTATTTCACCATATAATCAATAAACAACTATTAATGAAAATATTGTTTTTTTTTAATATAAATACTAAACATTCACACTCTGGTATGTATTTTATACTTAGGTCACATTTCAATTCGGACGGGCACATTTCAAGTGCTCAACAGCCACCTGTGGCTAAGAGCTACCTCTTGGACAGTGCAGCCCTACAGCCCGATTTCAAAAATAAGGAAAACACAAAGCAAACAAAACCCACACTCACTGTATATAAACACATCAATTTCAATAAACACGGCGTTTAGAGTTAGGCAGTGATTGCTGATTTTTGGAGTATGGCGAGAGGACGCCTAGGAGCAAGAGGGAAGGAGAGGAAGGGCAACGGAGAGATGCCTGGAGGAACGCAACTGCTGCATCTCCGGAGAAGCCGGTGCTCCCTACCGTGCCAGAGCTGGAAGGGTCGGTGCTCCCTACCTCCCAAGCTTGAAGGGCTGCCTAGAGGTGACGAGGTGGGGCCGGCCCCAAGCGGTCACTGCCACTTGGGCTCTAGAGCCCGTTTGTTTGGGCGCTTGAGGAGGTGCAGGAGAGTTGGGGGCTGTTCCCGGAAACCCCAGTAGCTGCCTACCTGTCGAGCAGCGGCGTGTGGATGTGCAGGTGCTTCACGGCCACCTGGACGCGCCAGTCTGCGTGACGGGCGGACGACACAGTGCCCGAGGCGCCGCGGCTCAGGTAGCGCAGGTCGGCCAGCTTGTGGTAAGGAATGGTGGGCAGGGCACTGCAGATGGCCTCCCCGTTCATGGTCGCGGGCGCTCAGCCGGTGCCGGTGGGGCCCCTGCTCCGGAGGCTTCCAGGGCTCTCCCGCCACGCTCGGGGGCCCAGATCCGTCCCTGCACAAGCGAAGCCGGCAAGATCCTTCCTGCCCCGCGACACTAAGTCACGAGGCCTCCCATTCCCCAGGCGGCCCACGTCAGCCGCCGTTTCTCCGAACCAGAGCGGACTTCTTTTCCGAAGACTGGGGACCACGCCGTGGCGCCGCGGAGGAGCTTCCTCTCTCGCAGCCCCGACCTTCCCAGGCGCGCGCCGCCGCTCGGTCCGGCGGTCCGAGCTCCTCCCTCCCCAAACTTCGCAGACGACGTCAGCGGCGGACAGCGAGGCGCGGAGAGGGGCCGGCCGCTCGCGGCCCTCCCTCCTGGCTCTCGCCTCGGCCTGCGGCGGGGATCCTCCGTCAGCTGGCGCGGCCGAGGGGCTGGGGCGGGCGGCAGGGATGTGGGAAAGAGAGCCGGAGGCGCTCCTTTTGTCTTCTCTTCCCATCCCCCAGGTTTGGGAAAGTTTTCTTTTTGGGAAAGCCCCTCTCTTCGGCCCGCTGGCGGTGTCGGATTGGTTGGCAGCTCCCACCCCCCATTCCCGAGAGGTCTCGCCTCGGTCCGCAGGTCTTCCGGAAGTTGCCCAACCCGGGTGGTAGTGGCGTCCGGGTGGGGGCTTTATTAGGGGGCGGGGGATTCTGCTGTCGGAGCGGCTCCCGACTCTGCGCCTGCGCAGGAAGCGATTTGGGGCGTGTGGTGAATTCCGAGGGCTCCACACTTAAGAGGTTCTGCACTCACCTGTCTACCTGGACTCCAATCTTCGCTTGTTTCCAGCCACTTCAGGACTAAGAGGTGGATGATAATCCCTGTCATAGTAGAGCAAGTTCAGGTATTTAACACCTGTGACATGGGATCTGCCTTTCTCCCTCTTTTTTCTTACTTCCATGAGTTTATATGTACAGAAATTGAAAAATAACCTTGAGAGAGTCCATCCCTCTAACTCCAGGTAAGACTGCAAATAATTCTTATAAACCTGGGAGGAATGCAGTGTTTCATGCCAACCAAAAAAGACTGCAAACATTTTCCCATCTTTCTGCCTTAAACAGCTTTCTACTTAGATGACTATTTTGTAAGGTATGAGTGCAAATGTTATATACGATACCAAGTCTATGCTAGGTGTTTAATGAATTCTAGAGCTTCAGGAATAAGGAATGACTCGATTAGATTTCTGCCTACAGAAAGTTAATGCTTTAGTAGTAGTTTTGCATTACCTGAAATGAGAGTATCAATGTTAGGTTTTACGATAGTGGGAGGTTGTAAACAATAGTGTCTTTCAACTTATCATTTATAATAAAATGTTCAGCAACTAAATATTGGTCTGATACTCTGTGCTTTACTGCTTAATAAGTTTTTTTTTGTTGTTGTTGTTTTTGTTTTCCCCTGAGATGGAGTCTTGCTCTGTCACCCAGTCTGGAGTGCGGTGACACTCTGCTCACTGCAACCTCCGCCTCCGAGGTTCAAGCAATTCTCCTACCTCAGCCTGCCTCCCTAGTAGCTGGGATTACAGGTGCCCACCACCATACCTGGCAAATTTTTGTATTTTTTAGTAGAGACCGGGTTTCACCATATTGGCCAAGTTTTTTTTTTTTTTTTTTTTTTTTTTTTTTAAGACGGAGTTTAGCTCTTGTTACCCAGGCTGGAGTGCAATGGCGCGATCTCGGCTCACCGCAACCTCCGCCTCCTGGGTTCAGGCAATTCTCCTGCCTCAGCCTCCTGAGTAGCTGGGATTACAGGCACGCGCCACCATGCCCAGCTAATGTTTTGTATTTTTAGTAGAGACGGGGTTTCACCATGTTGACTAGGATGGTCTCGATCTCTTGACCTCGTGATCCACCCGCCTCAGCCTCCCAAAGTGCTGGGATTACAGGCTTGCGCCAAGTTGTTCTTGAACTCCTGACCTCGCAATCAGCCCACCTCGGCCCCCCAAAGTGTTGGGGTTGTGGGCGTGAGCCACCACGCCCAGCTTTTTTCTTAAAAACTACTCAGAAAACTTTTCCATTCATTCATCCAGTCAGTTAATTAAAAACCTTAGCCCTAAAAATAGAGAACAACAACAAAAAATAAACAGGAAAGAAATGATCCAAATAATAATTTTAAAAATTTTGTCAGGACCAAAGGGCAGGGGTCTTCATATTTAAAGGACCCACTGAGTAAAAAGACCTACATTAAAACACTTCATTAAAAAGGTGAGAACACTAAGACTAAAGGGAAGATTCTAAACGTTTTCGGAGGACAAAAATAAAAATTAAGAGTATGGGATTTAGAATGCCATTGGATTTCTTAACAATGTTATTAAGTCATTGTTATCCTAACATACAATGAAGTGACATTTTTTCAATATTCCAAAGGACAGTAACTTCCAACTTAGAATTCTATAGTCAAACTATCTGTCAAATATAAGGGCAGAATAAAAACATTTTCACATATACAAGGATGAAATACTTTACTTTTGTTTTTTAGAAAACAAACAAACAAACAAACAAAAACCTCCTAGAGAATGTGTTCCAACAAAACATGGGAGTAGGCCAAGAAAAAGAAAGGTGGGATCCAGAGAACAAGACCAGGAAATTAAGAAGGGAAACTCCGGGATGAGAGAAATGTGGGAGAATTGGAGAGCAATTCAGGCAGACTTCAAGAGAAAACAGGCAGGCAGACTTCAAGAGAAAACAGTAGTTAATAGTAATTGAAATGATAGATTATCTAATTTTGAGTATTTGAGAAATTATATTGATAGATGTTTGATAGATCTAATGAAATACAGGATGAAGTTGGAAAATGAACTGGAAAAAAAATCCAAGGAATAAAAGGAAGCAGTTGTTAATTCTATGGAAATTATTTTAGAAGGGAAACAACATTTCTCTAAACTGTTTTGTGGTGGTGAAAAATGTAGAACTTTTCAGAGCTTTTAAAAGGCTAATATACATCTCTAAGAAGGAGAGAGCATGACACATAGAACTTCATGGAATTTATTTGCATTGTTAATTACATTACTTTAAAATTTATTTTTAAAAACCGTATTCACATGGTTTAAAATTTAAAACAATAAGGACACATAATGCAATAGAAAAATTAAGTAAAGGATTTAGAATCCTTGAAAAAGAGGTGAAAAGGTGCTCAACATCATTAATTATCAGGGAACCATGATTTTTAGCTACAGTGCAACACTGCTATCCAAATAGTAGAATGAATAAAATTAAAAAGACAGAATATACCAAGTGTGAGTGAGGATTTGGAGCAACAGGAACTCTCACACACCGTTCATGGGAGTGTTGATTGGTACAATCAATTTTGTAAATTGTATGTCAGTATCTATTAAAATTGCAGATATGCAGACCCTGTGATGCAGTGATTCCTTGCTTAGGTATATGGACATGTGTATGCATCTACTAGAATGTTCATAGCAGTGTTATATATAATAGTCTCAAATTGGAAATTACCCAAACATTGATAAATAGTAGAATAGATAAATGAATTTTGGCACATTTATGCAATATAGTGCTAAATGGCAATGAAATTAAACTGTACAAATATAATGTTGGATGAAAAAAGCCAGATACAGAAGAGTACATATTGCATGGGCCCATTTGTATAAAGTACAAAAATGAAACTAACTTATGCTTATAGAAATCTTCTCTCTAGTAGGGGAGAGGCATTGATTAGAAGGGAATGATGAGGCATTTGAGATGATGGTAATGTTCTATTTTTTTATTCAGGACCTAGGATCTAGGTGCAAGTTGCATAAGTGTATTCAGTTTATGAAAATTCTTGAGAAAAACTCAAAAACATTTTTCTGAATATATATTATACTTCAATAAAAAGTTAACTGGCTTAAATATAAAAAACACACACATGTGTAAACATGCATATATTATATATGCATGTATAAATATAGATTTATATGTTACATATATTATATTTTCATATTTATATATTGTCATATTTCTATATATTTATATATAAATACATATATATTTATATAGTATATTATAAATGTATAAATATGTATTTATAAATACATAAATATATATATTTATATATACATAAATATATAAATATATAAATACATATTTATGAATTTATAAATTTATATTTGTATAAATACATATGTATAAATATATAAATACATTTATATATAAATATGTATTTATATATTACATATGCATGTTTATATTTAATTACATATAAAATATATATATCAAATATATATATATCAAATATATATACATATAATATATATGTATATATAAATACATAAATATATAAATATATAAATACATATGTGTATGTAAATATATAATATTATGTATATAAATATATGTATATAAATAATGTATATGTAAATATATGTATATAAATATATAGATATAAATTTAAATATATATAAAATTAGGTATATATACCTATTTATATATAGATATTAATATATCTATATAATATATATTAATGTTATATATTAATATATTACTATTTATATGTTACATATGCATGTTTATATTTAATTATATATAAAATATATGAAATATCTGTCAGTTTTATGTAATTATTGTAACACTGTATACCTGTTCACTTTGCTTGTTTTTTACTTAGAATATTTTGGATATGTTTCCATATAAATGCTTAAAAACCTCCCTCATCCTTTTTTATTTTCTAAAGGCTCATAGATATACCACAATTTATTCCCCATTGACGGGCATATACTTTGTTTTCACATATATGACATTACAGATAATGCTGCAATAGTTAATTTTTGCTTATGTTATTACATACATGTGTATCTACATATTTCAGAAGCCAAATTGCTGGATAAAAGAGTATGTTCATTTGTACCTTTGGTTGATGTCATTGAATTGTTCTTCATTGAAGTTATACTAGTTTTCTTTTCCTGTAGGTGATGAGAATAGCTATTTCTCCACACACTTACTTTCGTTCCTTTTTTTAAAAAAAAATTATATTGGCTTATATTTTTAGTTTGTATTTGGAGTTTAGCAATAATTCATTTAGAGGAGACACAAAATATTTTAGTAACAATTTATAATGACAATGTTGACATGTGTATTAATTGTTCTCCCCAGTAGTTCTTTTTAGAGCTCTAAAGAGAATTCTAAAAATAATTATTTTGCCTCTCCCAATCTTATGTTTTATTTATTTTTTTACAAAGGTTATTGACTTTACTGAGCACTGTTTTCTTCTTTTTTTAAAAAGAATTATTTATTATACTTTAAGTTCTGGGGTGCATGTGTAGATCATGCATGTTTGTTGCATAGGTATGCAGGTGCCATGGCGGTGGTTTGCTGCATCCATCACTCTGTCATCTACATTAGGTATTTCTTCTAATGTTATTCCTTCCCAATCCCCCCACCCTCTGCTATTCCTCCCATACCCCCCCACCCCCCAGGTCCCAATGTGTGATGTTCCCCTCCCTGTGTCCATGTGTTTTCATTGTTCAACACCCACTTATGAGTGAGAACATGCAGTGCTTCTTTTTCTATTCTTGTGTCAATTTGCTGAGAATGATGGTTTTGCAGCTTCATTCATGTCCCTGCAAAGGACATGAACTCATCCCTTTTCATGGCTGCATAGTATTCCATGGTGTATATGTGTCACATTTTCTTTATCCAGTCTGTCATTGATAGGTATTTGGGTTGGTTTCAAATCTTTGCTATTGTGAACAGTGCTGCAATAAACATACATGTGCATGTGTCTTTATAATAGAATGACTTATAATCCTTTGGGTATAGACCCAGTAATGGGATTGCTGGGTCAAATTTTTTTTTTTTTATTTTTTTTTATTTTTTTTATTTCTAGATCCTTGAGGAATTGCCACACTGTCTTCCACAATGGTTAAATTAATTTACACTCCCACCAACAGCGTCAAAGTGTTCCTACTTCTCCACATCCTCTTCAGCATCTATCCTCTCCTGATTTTTAAATGATCGCCATTCTAAC